TCAGATCTATTTCAGATTGGTTTTATGGGCATTACAATATGGCGACTAGCATCAAACTACGTTTCTAGCGTGGATGCGTTTGGATTGAAAAACCGTTCACTTACTCTCACGTGAAGCCCTCTCTCTGAAGACCCCACCTGCAGTGCCTCTCTCTCTTGTTAATAAGGCAATGTTGGTTCCTGCTTTAATAATCCGAAAAATATGGTTTCAGATCTATTTCAGATTGCCTTTATGGGCATTACAATATGGCGACTAACATCAAACTAAGTTTCTAGCGTGGATGCGTTTGGATTGAAAAACCGTTCACTTACTCTCACGTGAAGCCCTCTCTCTGAAGACCCCACCTGGGCCCGTTTGCTCGAACAGCTAACCGCGGCTAAAGTTAGCCGCAGTACCTAGGAGAGGGATTTTTTAGTCACGTGACTGGCTCGGTAGGGATACGGGGAGCTACGCATTGCCCCGTCGCGTCGTTCGACAAAATGGCTGCGGCGTACGCAGTTTCCGCGGTCGCGATCGCATTGGTGTTTGTCTTCAGAGCGATGATTTAGGTTCCGTGTTCTAAGTTAAGAGTGTACAAGTATCCTACGTGCGCCTTAAAGAAACTGACATTTCGAGGGGACTGCGACTGAAGTCGACGGCAGCAGCCCGTCGACAAACAGTGGCTCAGAGTCACCGATTTGTAGAAGTACAGTGGCCCGGAGTCGCCGACTGTCGAAGCTTCGCATCGGCTTCATTGAAGCACGGCAAGAATCATGCATCGCAGCGCCGAAATGTGGGATGCGTTCCAAGGAACACGATAGCCGAGTACGACAAGCGTTTTACGGTGAGCACCAAAACATTTCGCGATAGGGTTGTGATGAGGCCAGCCTCATACTCACGTTATGTTGAGCGCTGTGAAACTAACTTCAAGCAGGAGCAGGATCAGAATACGTTTATTGAAAGGAAGCATTACGGAGAGTTGCCTTTTGAGTAGCGATTGCGGTTTATTGAAAGTAGTCACGCCGGGAAAATTTCTGTTCAGGGTGTCCATTTTGTACAAAATCCTCGTATTCTGCTTACAGTGCGACTGCAGCTGCAGCATCAACCGTTCTGCAGATAAACGGCGGACAGAGGCTCAACGGTCCAATGGATTTTAGCAGTGATGAGTAGCAGAACTTTCTCTGGGTTTAGTGAAATGCTACGTTGTCCATAAAAGACCAGTGACCTGCCGATCGTTCAATTCACTCGCCCTCCAAGAAAGCCGGTACATGCAGTTTTTCCGAATCAACTCCGTTGTGCCGTCTGCGAAAGTTGTAGAACCGAGAAATAAACAATACTGAAGTTGTTGGAAATGCACTTGTTTGTTATTTCGCGTTGCTTCTGAAAAAATATTTTACGGTTAGCAGGAATAATGTTGCAATTGTGTAGATAAACAAACCAAGGTAGCAGACGATCATGCTCCTTCTGCAAACGAAAATGAACCGAGCGACTACCTCAAAGGGGACCGCGCCGCTGCGTCAAAAGAATTGGACCCTAGATGAAAAATTGGAATTAGTCCGGGAAGTTGAGGCTCGAAAATACCAAATCCTGGGAAAATTCGGCCCTACCGTGACTACTAAAACCAAAAGACGCGCCTGGGACCAAGTCGCCAATTCCATGACCCGCCGCCACCAAGTTCCGCGTTCAGTGAAACAGCTTCAAGAAGCATGGAGAAAATTACTTAAAAAGTGCCGAACTTTGTACAGATTGTACAAAGAACATGACCAACGGACAGGTAAGTTCCAATATTTGCGCTACAAAAACAGAAAAAAGGGCGATATTTGTAAAATCTTTATTGGAAACTTTGGGTGCACTGTACAAATTTATTAGAGAGTGATATATTAGCCCCTCAAATTTTTGGGGCAAATATCTCAACCGAAGACCCCATTCAATGCGCGACAACTAACATCTCGCTCAATATCATGAGAGGGCAAGCCCAAAGATTAATTAGCTCTTACTCGCACAAGTTTCAACACAGTGGCACTAACACAGAAATAGCCCCAAAGCACCTTGGATCCTGTTCCATGCAGTGGGCCTGCGTAATTTCTCAAAATTAATGTCCAAATTTTGCTTGCCAAAAACATTGTCTTTAGCACTGTAAACAATGTAGACACTATTGTTCAACTAAACACAGAAGAAAAATGTATGTAGGCAAGTAGCGTGGGAACAAGGGCAGGGGGGCTTCAGACCCCCTTCCCCTTCCCCCCCCCCCTTGAAATTTCAGACAGCTGCGGTAAACAATGCTGCAAAAGGGGGCGGGGTTAAGCTCAGAGGCCCCGTCGCCCCTCCACGTTTGAAACACTTCCGACGCAACCGATTCAGGCACAGAGTGGGCCAGGCTAGCCGGTAGCTGGCAACAGTGAGTTTGCTGTCAAACAAAAAAAAAAGAAATAAATTGTCCAACATCACATATTACCCGAGACCGGATAATAGGAACCTGAGGGTGAAAAAAAAACGAAGGTAAGAAAACAATCTTATCATTATTGGCAATTACATGTTTACGCGTTTTCTGTTCATTCGCACATTGATACTATGTTGAATAATGAACACCCTGTCTCCCCTCCCCCACCTTTAATTGTGCTTACATCCTAGAAAACAAAATAAGTGTACTTCAATTCATAGGTGCTGGTCCCAACCCCCATCAGCTGACACCACTTGTCGAGACTGTTTTAAATGTGATCGGGGACGATTCCCCGACGATCTGTGGGATTGACGTCATCATCGGTGACACCGAAAAGTAGGTAACACTTTATAGGCCATGCTGTGTATGCTATGCTCCTGTTGATACTTTATACATTACAATACTAAAGTTGTAGGTATGAGCACGTGGCTTCGTCAATCACCTTACTTGTGCTAATTGAATGGCCCACCCTTACGCCTACAAGTTTGATATCGTTGCACACTGTATGTAGACTGTGACAATGGAGGCGATAGTACAGTGGAAGCTCTGCACCCAGTTACAGCTTACTAGCCCTGACAGCACAAGGATGCACAAGCAGCAGAAGAGAATGAGCACGCGCTGAAGGTGCATTCTTTTTCTGTTCTGCTCGTCACATTATGAGTACTTCCACAAGATGATAGTTATGAAACTGATGATAGGGATGTTCTGCTGTCACTGATGATAGGTATGAAACTGAGCACAGACACAAGGCATATCAAAAGTCACCAATTGTTGGCATGCTCCTAGAAAACATTGATGAGCATAGGGAACAGTTTGGATTGTCATAAAAGAATATATTGGTTTTCCATCTCAAAGTAGACATGTCAGTTGCATAACACTACTGCTGCGTGCCCTTACATAGAGACCAACTTCATGAAGCAAAACGACAATATTAGGAGCACGAGTCAAAACCTGTCCAGTAGAGAACAGAACACAGCACAAGGACACCACCTTCACATATTTAGCCATTTCTGCACTGCTGAAAAAGTGCCAATGAAACCATTTATTATGGTAAATGCAGTAAAACTCACAGTTTGAAACTATTTGTACCACAAAATTACAAAGAAATATTTACATCATAATCAACAAAGCTATGGTAGTCTTTCTCTCAAGTTGAGATCACCTATTTTCTTCAAAGTCAGGTCACTCAATACCCAAATTTTTCCACTGTCAGTGGAAATGTTTTTGCATGATCTTCGTACATGCCTGCTAACGTAGCAAAAATCCATTCTTTTTTGGTAACGCTTATGAGATTAAGTTGAGAATGCACCAATGACTTATTCGATGCTGATCTGTGCCAACAAAATCTGAAAAAGTATCAATGTCCCAGTTAGCCGGACAGTGCTTGGGTACACAATAATCACATATGACGGCTGGTGTGAGTGTGCCACATCTACTTGTTTTAAATCTTGTACAAATGTCTATGTGGCGACTCTACCAACCGCCAATGAAACAAAGTTGCGGGGTTAGGCACTCCAGTCTGTTGTACCACCAACATATGTGGTAAAATTATGACAAGTGTTACTGTCACATCTGGATTAAGGTTGCCGCACGTTGCACTCAGTTCTCCCACACATATATGTACCCTGATCCAGGGTGACGTCAAAAATGTCATGCACTGCAGCCCTCATGCATCACTTGGAGAGATAGAGGACGGAGAGAATCATGTCACGGAGGACGTACGTGCACGAGTATGGTGTCTAGTCACAATCCTTTGCTTCAATGCTCTGAGCAGCTCTCTGGAGCTGTAGCCCTTGCAGTTTGCTAAGTTATGCTGAAATTTACAAGTTCACTCCTGCCCAACAATAGCCCTCTGTGAGCTGCCATTTTTCTCACTGCGCATGCTCGGAACACGTCCCGAGCATTAACTTTATGCAGGACAATATTGTACCTCGGGCTGCCATCCACTGCCAGTGAGTGACCTGGGTTTTTAAGTTTGCTGATAATCGTTGTAAAGGCTTATGCGTTAAAGGGATACCTCAACGAAATTAAAAATATACCCGTCGTGTTCAAAAATAGGTTGAATATGATCCACTGTATCCCTAAATGACAATCGCACGTTTGTATTTTGAACCTGGTGGCTATAGTTTTCGTTACAAACGGCCCACCCTGACAAGCGCTCGGAGAACAGCCAGCGGAGAGCATGTGACACCCAACGCAATCGTGACGTAGTTCGTCTCGGGACGAGCAAAGCTGCGACGAGGCTGACGTCGAGAGGATGGCCTAGTCGTTCCAGCCACCAAAGCGGCTGCTTTTGTACGAATTTTGAGTGAAGGGTTAATCTTTTATAATCTTGTAGGGGGACAATAGCAACTTCTGGGACATACAAAAAGGATTCTTTGGAAGAGGAGAGTTCCTCCTTCCCCTCTTCTATTGTGGTAGCCGGAGGCGAGACAGTTACCGTCACTAGCTGTCAAGGTTCTGAGACTGGCATTACAAACGAGGCGTTAGCGACATCCACCTGGTGCTCTTTGCCAATCGCTTAATTCGTTTTAAAATTCCTTTTCGTGACTTTTTTAACAAGATATTGTTGTGTTCGATGTGATACTGCTCCTTCGAACACATATAGACCAAAAAATGAAACCCGAAATTTTGTTGTAGTATCCCTTTAACCTCAAACAATTTCCTGGTCATGCGTGTCACTACAGCAGCTGCACGGGAAGGGTGACGACGCCGCCACCCTCGTCATCTGGCAGCAGTACAGTTGAAGACGACGCAGCACAGAGAACACTGGCCTCTCCTGTTGTGCAGCACAACCAGCGCTGGACCCGTGAGGCTGCACAGCAGTACCAGAGAAGGGCCGAGCGACAGCAGGATCTGGAGCATGAGAATATACTCCTTGAGAGAAAGTACACAAATGGGGCCATACAGGCTGCAAACGCAACCCTCGCTGCAGCAGATGCTGCACGGAGTTTCTATGCTATAGGGGAGGAAGTGCTCAGGGAGCAAAGAGAACTCATTAGACTTGAAACCACCCGAGCACAGCTGCAAATTGAACTGATAAAAAGACAATTAGGACAAGATTAACTCATGTAATGAGCTACTTGCATTGTTTGTCGCTGTGTTGTATACATATTTTGCGTTTTTTCTGACCTACATACTTGGTTGCACGATTATAACGCTCACATTTTTTTTGCCAAAATGGGTGCCTAAAATTAGATGCACTTACAATTGAAACCAAAACTCAAAAGAAAAACGCAAGGCAGCTAGCCCAATCGCCTTTGTGACCGTTTGTTTACATTAGATATTTTGGTATCCGTATCGCGCGTTCTTTCGCCTTTATGTCATCACACTGACGGGAAACGATAACCACGGAGCGACACTGCGTAGCCTCGCAATCCCAGCGACCCAATGAGCTCGCGAAGTGTTGTATGAAAAAAAAAAAGTGAAGGCCGTTTACAACTCTGTAACGCCGAATTAGAGCGCAGCTCTTGAGGAGGAGTAGGGAAGGGTACTGAGAAGGAGGGGGGTCACGTGACCTCGGCGGGGGGGGGGGGGTCACGTGACCCCCAGGTCACATGACCCCGCAGAGAAATTTTTCCGCTAGGTTTAGCGGACAAATTTTTCCGCTAGATTTAGCGGGGAATTTTTTCCGCTAGATTTAGCGGGGAAATTTTTTCACTAGATTTAGCGGAGAAATTTTTCCGCTAGATTTAGCAGAGAAATTTACCCATCATGCACCGGCGGTTACGACGACGGCGACGGCGACGCCGCTCAAGCCGGAAACGAGCGCCTAAGAGCTGCACTTATGGGTGTTCAAAGTGCATTACTTTACCTGCGCGGTAGAATCGGCAGCAATTAAATTTTTCGATATCTGGGAGCTAAAATTGCCTGCATGTAAGTATCGGGGCCACGTTAGAATCGTGCAAACATGGTATGTTTGACACTTCATTTATTTTATGCATGCTATCTACAAGGGAAGCTTGCACACAATCTTTTCCATGTCGTTGACTATCCCTACACTAGACCAGCGTGGTTGTTCTGATCGCAATATTTTACGCTGTGGTTAAGTAAGCAACAGAATATCATACTGGCAGTATGGCACCCAGGCTTTCGACGCCCCAAAGGCGGCACATAATTTACATGGATACCTAAAATAAAAATATGGGTTAAGCTCAAAGGCAGATGTATAATTCCTTCTTTCCTATATCCCTTCACATGTTTCCCTTTCATAACGCGGCTCCCCGTCACAGCTCAAGAGAGGAGGTCGCCAAGACGATTAGCCTCCCGGCAGAAGACCAAGGTCGAGTTTCTGTGTTTTAAGAAAATGTTCGAGTCATCGATGAGTGGACCACAGACACTTTCTGACTTGCATCTGCAAATATTCCTTCTGCTTTTAAGATAAAGGCTTTTTCTGCCTGGATATGCTCCTGCGACCTATGGACTGTGTGCTGCTTATGTACGAAAAAGTTCATACTAAGAATATCCCGAAACTCAGGAACAGAAAAAGGGATCAAACACAACACTACATCATTTTGTTGCGTGTGTCACCTTTTGGGGCCCCGGGTCTTCAACTCTTATTACTTTGAATCGTCACCACTTACCTTGTTCTTTAAGTATTTATTTATTTATTTATTTATTTATTTATTTTATTTAAAGAGTACCTTCATCGCCTCGAGGGCATTATTGTAGGAGGGGTGGGAAATAACACACATACATAAAAACACAAAGTGATCACTTGTCCGCACGGAATAGATATACAACCGAGAAAAAAATACACTGTTATCCAACACAACAGTTTTTTGGAGCTGAAATCTACTTGCTGCTTGTACGTAGGCTCGCGATAATTCGAACTCGGATATTTCGTACTTCCAGTTAATTCAAACAGGTTTAAAAATTTTGGTTGTCCCGCTAAGCTTTTTTATGTATTTATAAGCCACTTAATTCGAATGGCGTTTTCGCTTAATTCATAGTTTTTTGCTCTCGCGGCCCTGTTGAGTGCGCTTCTTTCCGAGCACCGGTGCACCGCAGAGAAGCAATACCTGCGGAGCTTGCTTTTGCGAGTGTTGCTTCTCCGCAGTGCACCAGTGCTCGGAAAGAAGCGCAGTCAACGGGGCCGCGAGAACAAAAAACTATGAATTAGCGAAAACGGCACACATGAACGGAAAACGGCGTTCAAATTATGTGCTTCAAGACTAGCAATGATGACCAAGACGACAACGAGGACGAGGCACAGCTCACTGGCATCATGATTTCTGGCCTTGAAACACGTAATGTGAACGCCGTGCAGGCGAACTATATTAGTCTTGACGACGATGTGTGTGTTTGTCATGATGACTCATTAGAGGACATAGTACGGAAAGTAATGCCAGCACAGTGCAGCAGTGACAGTGAAGATGACGATGAAGAAATGGATGACCCACTACGAACTGTCACAGCCGCAGAGGCCTTTGAGCACATCGCTCAGCTCCGGAAGTTTCTGTCTGCAAAGGAAAAGTCCCGTAAAGAGCTGCTTGCGTTGGCTGGCATTGGAAATTTTGTTTTGAGATCTCATGTGCTGACTAAACAGTCCACAATTGACGACTTTTTTGCCGGATGAATAAACTTAGTCACAGTTCTTTCACAAATGTGTTATGCCTGTACTTGCTTATAGTTATGCATTAACTATAAGCAAGCTATTGTGCTATGTAGAGGAAACTGGCCAAAATCTGCTTTGTATATATCGCTATCCATGTAACAAATCATAATGTTCTCTAGTATCATATATATCCAACTAAAATATGTGACTTTCTGGAGTTTGAATTAATGAGAGTGTAGTATGTACAATAAAGCTCCTCTCTGGACAATGCCCTACTAAAAATAAATGTTTTGCAAATGATGTTATCATGCCAGCCAGGATGAAGAAAATATGAACTAACCCTAGGAGGTTTGTGAAAAATAAGAGAAAAGCTTTGCAGGTTGGAAAAACCTGTGAAAGGTGTTATGACTCAACACTCAGAAGCGTACACTATGTAAATCCTATGAGCTAGTAACCATGAGTATGCAGTGAAAAATGAACATTCTATGGGGTAGTATATATAATTTGTACTGATAGCTTTGAAATTGGTATCAAATGAACATTGTTTCACTATACTCTCCTATTCATGCTCCTGTACCCATTAAATAGTATCGGTTTGTAGATATTGAATGGGAAAATAACTGTCTTCTTCAGTTGCCTCATTATAAACTGTGCACACATAGTCTGTTATAGGGCTGACTTCAGCACTTCCCATAAAGCATCCGTCGGTGTGGGAAATGTATTACAAAAAATAATGACAGTATAAAAAGAGAGCTCCAGAGAGTGCGAAGAAGTGCACAAATTTGAAGAAGCATCCCTCGTGTCATTAGTTAGAAGTTTGAAAAGTGCATTGTTATGAACTCCGGAAATCAAATTCAAAATCTATTAGTTTAAGAGAGCCCGTGTGTGCCTATGCTTGTAGCTCTGCGAGAGTGCAGGAGTTGATGGGGAGGAGACCAAAGCAGTAACAAGCAGTTGAGCTGCAGCGTGCGATTGCAGGAGTGTTGGACATTGCACTGCACTCCCGTTTGACCAATAGCTTCGGCAGGGATTTTTTTCGAGCACACTCTTTCCAACGAGCTAATTATAAGTGCCTCAAATGACACATTTCGAGCTTTGTAACAATAATGCGGGAAGTAAGAAAAATTTTTTTCATTACTTATTTCGTCGCTCATGCTGCAATTTACACATACTGCTATGGAAGCAACAGGTATAAGGGGATGTCCATCAATCATTCTTTACATTTCTATCATCCAAATTTCGAAACTCTATGTGGGATATCTGCAAGCACTACCCGAATTGATCTGTGCAAGAGTGATATATGCATTGCTGGAATGTCATTGTCATGTTGATAACACACTTTCAGCATTGTCACATGTGTCACACTCCTTTATGGGTTATTTTGGGTAGAACTTATGATAATCTTACATCCAGTTAGATCATACAAAAAAAGCTTAAAATAAAATTAATCAATATCTCAAAGCTGTTGGCTTCTTGCTAACTGTGCAGCACGGTTGAGCCCCTAACTGTTGCAGTTTCCAAAAATACAATTGATGTTTAAGTAGCAAAACAATAAATATTATTTCAAGCAATTATTTGATCTAGTTAGACAACTGTCTGACATAATTTTCTTATAATTATCTGCAAAGCCTGATAAACAAAAGGTGAAAGCAATAGCCACGATCATAACAAAGCATCTTGCATTAGAAATGGACAGCCAGAAGATACCTATCCAGACACTTACACTTAGCCGAAGAAATGGTTGACAATAAAGTCTCGGGCCTCGTTGCTCTCAGCACGGTTGGCTGCTACGGGCTCAACGGGAACCTCAGCGGGGATGGCGGCCACGGGTGTCCTGCAGGGGTACCTCTTGGCCAGGTTGTGAAGGGCACAGCACGCGACAATGATGTCGCAGCACCGTTCTGGAGCCATTCGGAGCTCAGCGTGAAGGCAATGGAACCTCCGCTTGAGTTGGCCGATTGTCCTGTACAGAGCGCATGGATCAAAACCACATGTTATTCCTTCCCAGAAACCCAATAGCAAAATCGGACAACAGCGTGGAACGCAAATACTCAAGAGGATGACACGCAACAAGGACAAATTTACAGCTGAATTCGAATCGCAAATTGGCTGCCGTGCCCGATATCACACCTCCTAATTTTTCCAGCCCAAGCTCCAGCCCATTGCTCCAGGATATCGAAAGCTGGGCATTATGCATACCATTTTATTTTCCTTCCGAATTATTTTTACACTGCGTTCACATCCGGGGTCACCTGAGGTTAGCCTGTGCAATGTATTTTATAGAAAGCAACAAGCAAAGTGCAGCTTTATTCAAGCGCTATCCTCAAAGGGTTTCGTGGATATGCTTCCAACCAAACACCTGCATATGCACAGGCCAATATGTTAGAATTTTTTGCTACCTGATTGCTGCCAACGCTGTAAGAATTAACTTGTAACCAAGCTTTATACTGCAACAAATACAGTACCATCAAAATTTCATTCTACATGTTACTTGTGAGACAGAGTGAAAAGAGAAAGAGAGCCAGACTCTTGTCTTGTTGAGCCTTTTCCCTTCCACTCTCCAGGAATAGATGTTCGTGGTAGCGCAACCCATCTACTTTTGTCATTGATCAATAAGAATCCGTCTTGTAAGTCTGGGAGATGTAAAACGTAAAGCACTTGATATAACGCCTTATCCAAGTACTCCTACCCTTTGATTGTGCCGCTAGTGTTCCTATTAGTTAGTGGTCCACGCACCGCCATTTCTGACTCAAGTGGAAGCTCCTGGACGCATGCAGCCAAAGTTTTGGTAGAGGGTCTTATGGCGCTTTCACAACGGAATCCCAAGCAAGATTTGCCTGAACATTTGAGATTGCAGCGACTCATCATCAGTCGTGAATGACGTGTAAGATGGTGTCTAGAGACTATTTGTGGAAACTTGTTATTGCATGCTCAACTTCAACATTGTCCAAAATGATGCCTTGGCACTACTCTTAAATCCATCGATGAGAGCAGAATAGGTCATGCTAGGCATGTACTCTTGGCCAATCGGTCAAGACGGTCAGCAACACACAATTGTTTGCAACTTACACCGATGTGCCGCTATTTTTGGATCACACGCATCTTAGCACGCACGAGCTTAGCTGTACTTGTGCACTCAATATGAGTACATACATATCTAGCACGTTTAGTTAGTTTTCATTAAACAGCCCGAAACTGACATTTCAAAAAGTAGACATATGAAAGTGCCAAGGCACAGTGTTACTTCCACTGCTGTGTCTAGGAAAAAAATTCCATTGTCATTAATGCTTCTTTTTGTCCAATTAACAAAATATCAACTTCTGTCCGGGTCTTGCGTAGCACTGGCACCTGAGGTGAGTTTAGTGCTTTTCCCCATTATTGCCAGTCCTGGGGACCTAAGACATAACTGAGTTTCTGCATTTTCAGTCTCAAGCGATAAAACCCAATAAAGTGTGGTGAGGTAAGTTTCGAAAGTTTGATTTTAAACCTAAATGGTCAGTACTTTAGACCATTACAGGTGCATGTGACCGAGTAAACAGAGTATAGAAGCATGTGACCGAGTAGTCAACTATCTTATCTCCGTGCTTTCAAACTATTCTGTTGGAAGCACACTTTAGGAAGTATTTGGGTTTGTCATCGATGCAATTTGCGTTCCTTTGTCCATCAAGTTTGCTGTGGTCGTCTAGAGGGCGGATTTGGAGCGTTTTCATTGTTTGTCAAGCCATTTGGTCTTACTTTTGTTCTGGGAGGAATGGAATGTCATTCTGTTCCTATTGTAGGGAGCATAAGAAAAAAACCAAAGCTGTTTAAACAGCCTCTCTCAAGGTGCTATCTGGGTAGAGGAAAGCAGCTTTAATAGTCCTCCACATGTGAAGAACAAAGAAGCGTGCCAAGAATTACGTTTGCAAATTTTGCGATTAAGAATTTGTCGTCACAGCACATGTATAACCAAGGTTACGTTTGCCATGTCCGCAAGTGTTGCCGCTTGACGAATAACTCAGATATGAACCTAATCTACTGCATTCTCGACAAACCTGCTTGAAAAAAAACGTAACTGGTCAATAGATATCGACCGGAAAAAGGCAGTAAGCTTTCGACTAAAAATATTCATCGATAAAAACTGAAAATTTCATACTCACAATAACAACCGAAAAAAGTATGCCGATTCCAGAAAAATAAAAACTGAAACCGCAGAACCCTAGGCAGCTATTATAAGTTGTATTGATTCGTAATCTCAGGATACTACTTTCATCTTGCTTACATAAAACCACGGTATCTTATGCTTCGTTAGATTAATATAAAAATTTGTATGAATATTTTTATGCCATAAAGAATAGCAACAGACGTAAGGAGCATGCACGTGTTGCACATATTACGTCAAGACAGCTAGTCGTCTCGAAATGTCTTGCATGAATATCTCTGTGCCCTTCACAATATATGGCCTAGATTTACCGTTCAACAATGCTTCTTGTCGTCGTGTGTGCCGTATTGTATGCGACCTCGGCTGCTGATGACGGCGACAGGAATGGCGTCATCAGCCAAGGTTGACAGGAGTAGCCGCTGTCACCAAGCAGCAGGCCGTCGTACTCTCCACTGGCCAGCTTGACTGCCAAGGTGCTCTCCGTGAAGATCCGAGAGTCGTGGGTGCTTCCAGGCCACCTTGCAACCACGTTGCGAATCCGAGAAGAGGCGTCAACGACCACCTGTACGTTGATGGAATGGTATCCATGGCGGTTGACGTACGCCTCCTCGTGCACATGGGGTGCCTGGATCCGGACATGGGTACCGTCAACAGCACCCACGACCAAAGGAAAGCCGGCCATGTCGTAGAACTTGTGCTGCAAGGCTGCCCCCTCCGCAGCGTCAGGCCATCTGCGTCGTTGATCCCCTCAGCAATTAAACCACATATAGTAAACTTACAGCTACAATGCTTATGAATACCTTTTTAATGAGGAATGCTAAGGACTTTGGCTGTGCCCTTCAAGTTTGTGGTAGCAGTAAAGTGCCTCAGTAGCACCTGTTCAATAGTGAAGTTTGCATGTTTTCATAGGATCCCTTTTTATTTTTGTTCAGTTACCAAGACCTATAAAGTGACTGTGATTCGGTGCAAGTCCTTACCAAAAGTGCAAACGGGTCGCTTTCTGAGGTTTCTCAGAAAAATGGCGTGCCCGGGCCCTTTCCAATCGGGCAAGTAGGACGCTTACGGCCGTAATCATTTTTTTTTCTATTGAAAAGGGGGGGGGGGGAGGGAGGGCTAGTTACTAGTAGGTAGAATATTACTGCCATAAAAAGGCAACCTACAAAACATCCCTATCACCAGCAATTCAGATATATTTTTAGTGTATTTACTTTACTTCAATACGGCTGGCAAACTACAATTAAAAGGAAAAAAAAAGGACCCTTACCGTATGAAGTCTTGTGCTCGACGAGCCAGCGCTACGGTGACTTGCCTCACAGCCCGTGAAGCACTTGACACATGCACGCGGATGTAGTCGCCTGCAGTGATCAGAAAGTTCCCAGTTGCGTAGAACTGCAAGGCGATGATCACTTGCTGCTCCGCAGAGAGGGCGCGGCTACGACGTGTACGGCGCTCCAAGTCCGGACGCAGTGTGTCGGCGAGAAACATTATGCCCGCTCTTCCAAATCGGAACCGTTGCTGCAGCCCATCCTCGTCGAAATCCTCAAAGGGGTTCAGGCGGTCCCGCAGCACACGCTGTCGCCTCATCATTGCCGCTGCGTACTGCGCGTCCGTGCGGTCTCTTCTGTGTCGGCGATTCCTTGCGTTGGACATTCTGCCCGGTAGCAAAGTCGGAAATCGGTCCGCAAATCTTATCAGTCAGTCCGTGGCCGGTCGGAGGGTTTGTCGGTGGGTCGGTCGGTCGAAGGGCAGAATACAGACAGGAAAACTCAGATGATAACCGAAAACGAGAAACGCGCGTTGCGTGCAACGAGGCGAAACTGGTTGTATAAACAAACGCCGTGCACGCGACACGGCACACACGGCGTTGCCAGACTTGGAAGCGACGGTCGACGCACTTGCTTTTTGCAAAACACGACAACAGAAAACTGCAAAGCACTTTGACTAGGTGTCTTGTCTACGCTTCCACACTTCGAAAGAAAGAATTTCGATGCAAAAAAGAAACTATCCTTTTTCTTTTCAATTGAGCAAACGTTTCTTGCAAGTTACAACTAGATTTAGCCGAAAACGGTTCCCATAAAGCAAACGTTGTATCATAAAAAAATAACGATTTATTTTTTTCAGCACAAGGTGGCGCAGGCTCCAGCCCAATAATAAAGGACGGATTTGTTTTATGTCCAGCCATTAAAGTTTCGTAGTAGGTACAACGTAGTTACAACTAGGTACTTTCGGTACCTACTAGGGACTTTGGCCAACGCTAACCGCGGTTAGCTCTTCGAGCAAACGGGCCCTGCAGTGCCTCTCTCTCTTGTTAATAAGGCAATGTTGGTTCCTGCTTTAATAATCCGAAAAATATGGTTTCAGATCTATTTCAGATTGCCTTTATGGGCATTACAATATGGCGACTAACATCAAACTAAGTTTCTAGCGTGGATGCGTTTGGATTGAAAAACCGTTCACTTACTCTCACGTGAAGCCCTCTCTCTGAAGACCCCACCTGCAGTGCCTCTCTATCTTGTTAATAAGGCAATGTTGGTGCCTGCTTTCATAATCCGAAAAATATGGTTTCAGATCTATTTCAGATTGGTTTTATGGGCACTACAATATGGCGACTAGCATCAAACTACGTTTCTAGCGTGGATGCGTTTGGATTGAAAAACCGTTCACTTACTCTCACGTGAAGCCCTCTCTCTGAAGACCCCACCTGCAGTGCCTCTCTATCTTCTTAATAAGGCAATGTTGGTTCCTGCTTTAATAATCCGAAAAATATGGTTTCAGATCTATTTTAGATTGCCTTTATGGGCATTACAATATGGCGACTAACATCAAACTAAGTTTCTAGCGTGGATGCGTTTGGATTGAAAAACCGTTCACTTACTCTCACGTGAAGCCCTCTCTCTGAAGACCCCACCTGCAGTTCCTCTCTCTCTTGTTAATAAGGCAATGTTGGTGCCTGCTTTCATAATCCGAAAATATGGTTTCAGATCTATTTCAGATTGGTTTTATGGGCATTACAATATGGCGACTAGCATCAAACTACGTTTCTAGCGTGGATGCGTTTGGATTGAAAAACCGTTCACTTACTCTCACGTGAAGCCCTCTCTCTGAAGACCCCACCTGCAGTGCCTCTCTATCTTCTTAATAAGGCAATGTTGGTTCCTGCTTTAATAATCCGAAAAATATGGTTTCAGATCTATTTCAGATTGCCTTTATGGGCATTACAATATGGCGACTAACATCAAACTAAGTTTCTAGCGTGGATGCGTTTGGATTGAAAAATCGTTCACTTACTCTCACGTGAAGCCCTCTCTCTGAAGACCCCACCTGCAGTTCCTCTCTATCTTGTTAATAAGGCAATGTTGGTTCCTGCTTTCATAATCCGAAAATATGGTTTCAGATCTATTTCAGATTGGTTTTATGGGCATTACAATATGGCGACTAGCATCAAATTACGTTTCTAGCGTGGATGCGTTTGGATTGAAAAACCGTTCACTTGCTCTCACGTGAAGCCCTCTCTCTGAAGACCCCACCTGCAGTGCCTCTCTATCTTGTTAATAAGGCAATGTTGGTTCCTGCTTTCATAATCCGAAAATATGGTTTCAGATCTATTTCAGATTGGTTTTATGGGCATTACAATATGGCGACTAGCATCAAACTACGTTTCTAGCGTGGATGCGTTTGGATTGAAAAACCGTTCACTTACTCTCACGTGAAGCCCTCTCTCTGAAGACCCCACCTGCAGTGCCTCTCTCTCTTGTTAATAAGGCAATGTTGGTTCCTGCTTTAATAATCCGAAAAATATGGTTTCAGATCTATTTCAGATTGCCTTCATGGGCATTACAATATGGCGACTAACATCAAACTAAGTTTCTAGCGTGGATGCGTTTGGACACTGATCTCTATGTCTATTTGCTGGATCGCGTTTGACCAGCTCCTCCTATGGACCGGAATGCGGTCACTGGCGGCCATCTTTAGGTAGAGTTATATCATCTCTAGCCATCATAGTACTAATATGGCGGACAGCGCAATGGCGGCAGGCTGCCATAAAAATAGCCGTGGGTCTAGTACAATGTAACTTCACTTTAGTACACACGTAACGTTTGTATACAGAGCCGTGGTGCCGTGGGTGATTTTTTGTGCTTGATTGAAGTTGTTCGACGAAGCAGATTCTTGAAACCCGTCGTGAACGGTAGCCTCATCTTTGAGGACCCGGAGGAAGTTCTACGAAAGCGCAGCACCGGGGTAAAGCAGCGCAGCTCGCATCGAAAGCAGACGCCGTACCGGGAATGGGAACCTCCAGTGGAACCTCCGCGGTTCGACGTCGTTGATCGGTGGTGGTGTGATTTCGTTGGTGGTGAAGTCTTGCGATCCCGAACGCTTAGATACGGGTCAAGAGACGCCCTGCATGTGCTCGCGATCATTTGGGGAATTCTCGCGAGTGTACGTATTTACCGGGGTCTCTCCACAAACTAGTGTGCCGATGTGCCCGTGAGTGATTGATATATTTGCCTGTGACGTTCTGAATAAAATGCATTTAAATGAAGTGAATTGATGTCTCTTCCCGATCAATACTGGTCAAAGCCAGGAGTCCAGAGCGTCCTCCGCTCGACCGAGAGAGCGCACACAGGGCGTCGTCAGTGTCGTGCGAAATCAGCTGTGCGTCAGCTGGTGTCGTGTGCAATTAGTTGGCCAATCGTAATCGTGCATTGCAAAACGCGGGAACTTCCGAGCAGTGTATTAGCTGGTGTCGTGTGCAACCAGCTGTCATCGTACAAATGAAAACGCGGGAATTGCCCTCGGAGCGCGGTCGACTATGCCGTCATGTTGTGCGGCGCACTGCTCCAATCGCCCGGACCGCGAAAAAGCGAGAACTTACCATCGGTAAGTATTCAGTGTTTTGTGGCTATCCTGGCGCGCAGCGATATTTCTGTAAAAAAAATATATATATATATATATATAATAATGACTTTATTTACCATACAAGTATGGTGGGAGCTGAGGAAAAAAGCTGTGCAAGCAGCTTGACTGGTCCTCAGCCCCCCACAGGTACACAGCACTGGGGAAGTCATACACAAGAATTTATATAATACAAAATACTTAACAAAAAATTAACGAAACAAAAACAAAAGCAAAAATCTGCTCGCTAATTAACAGCAGTAAGGATTGTTTAATTAGAAAGAAAATAATCCTTAAGTGCACACATATTGGAAGATTCGACATCAAAATTAGAGCCCATAAGAGTGTTCAGTAATGTTGGCAAATATATTTATTTGTTCCCAAGGTTTCCACGAAGTCACCCCGCGACCCTTCAGCTGTGGGTGGAAAACGTCGGCAGGTTGAACTGGGAGCCTACAGAGACAAGCGTGGTCTGCTCTGACCACTTTGAAGAACAATGCTTCGATAGGACGGGGAAAATTGTGCGCCTAAGGGAAGGTGCAATACCCACCATCTTCAACCAGCCTACAGACCTCGTCAAGGTAATATAGTACCCCTGCTTCTAAAAATATAATCTTTAAATCCCAAAACGTTAATGTCAAGTACTTGTTTTGCTACGGTTGTTAAATAATGTTTGTTTTTTTTACTTTGATTCATTACTAGTAACAACACTCATTATTAAAACATATATATTTATTTTATTTTTATTATTTTTTTTTTGGGGGGGGGAGCAGAGGCGTCTATATTAACGAGACATGACTATGACGCTAAACCAAGCCATGTATACAGAGGCTATGGCAACACTCAAGTACTTCTAGCACAGCCAAAAACGAAACATAAATTGAACAGCTTGGTAAGTGTGCAGTAGCTTAAAGCCACATACATACAACGTGACCATAGAGAGTAAAAAAAATATATATATCAGTAAGATACAAGATAAGGACAAGTTTGAATAATGACTATTGAAAATTTGTGAGTGCAGATGATATGAATGAATTAATCTATGTCGCATTGGAGAGGAGTGACTGTGTGCTGACATGACTTTTCTATGAAGTCTAGGTTAGCGAGCTCTGAAAAAAGCCTTTTTCACTCTGCGACTGTGGGTTGAAAGAAGCTACTCGCAGACCAGGGGCATAGCCAATGGGCTTCACCCCCCCCCCCCCCCCCTCCCCAAAATCCAGCTGACCCTATAATATATACATGCATTTTGACACCCCCTCCCCCTCTCCACACCCCAAGTCATGGACATCCCAGCCGCCGCCACCCCGCCCTCCCCCCCAAAAAAGAAAAAAAAAATTTCCTGGCTATGCCACTGTCTCAGACATATCTTTTGCCAATGTCCACACTATTCATGCAATTGATTAGCAGGTAACACAATTTTAGTCTGTCCCTGGTACAACTTCATGATGGATGACCACCTGTCATATCAGTTGTAGATGAATCAAAGGACTTTTTTTTTAACATTGTTTAACACATCAATGCTCATTTGTGACCATGGATCTCATATTGCATTTGCACACTCCAGCGGAGCGAATAGAGCTTTCATGTGACACAAATTTAGTCGCAGAAAGTCACTAATTCAATGGGAGATTTGAGGTTTGTATAACAGCAAAACATTTGTATTTACACACAGGAAAAGTTGTTCAAACAAACAGGAGTACAGTGTGCTGATTCAGCACAATAAGCAGATGTATGGATGAATGCGTTACTTAATTGTCCAGCTATTGTGTGTACTCGCTGAGCCCATCACTTAAGCTAGAGGGCTCTCCTTCAGTCCTTGTTGGTTCCACACCATATGGGGAGTTTTTCTCCAAGTCCAAAATCAAGTGATATATTGAAGAGTTTCTTTCAAATATAATGACATATGCCATTATCTTTGGTATAGTTGAACTGTCCAGTTAGTAAGGATGGTCTCTGAATCTCGACCTCCAAAGAGGAGCTTGATTGGTTGTCAAGCGTAAAAATTACCCGACCGACTATATTGAAATTGGTGGCAGCTGCTTCCCACCTAAGACGACAAAGGGACAAATACGATAAAATAGGAGTCTTTTTCTGTAAATGTAGAATTGGTTTATCAGTCGCTTATAGGGCGGGGGGTCAGGGAAGCAGGAACAAGCACCAGCTCAAAGTATAACTGTATCTAAATTGTTTAATTGGTTTTGATGAACAATACAAACAGCTAAACCAGTAAATTATAATGTATACAGTCCGATCCCTTATCGCGTGTAATTCGAACAGAATAAATAAAGTAAATAAAATCTTCACTGT